GATATATATAAGTAGGAGAATCCACGAGTGGGTTGACAACAGTGGAAGTGGTTTGAGGGCATCTAACAATGATCGTCTGCCTCGAGCTCCGTGAGTTGAAAAGCTGACTTTATCATCGACACGTTATTGTCAGTACATTTTTCTGATCGGTCGATACCTTGAAGCGACGCGTCAAACCCCATGTCCTCGACAGCTGCCCTGAGCTGCTCCGGCGCCGTCAGACAGGGGTCAAAGGTTATCGTTCCCTTCTCGTCCTCCAGTGACACATTTATGGACAGTGTCCCGCTCATCTGTGAGATCCTCCCTTCTATGGACTGCACACAGGAGCTGCAGGTCATCCCTCCGATCCAGACGGTCACCGTCTCAGTGGACAGCGTCGAGATGTCCCTCTGCCAGCAGCTGATGTCCTCTGCGGACGGGTCCTCGGTTAATAACGTGGCATCGAACCCCATGTCCTCGATCTCGTCTCTCAGCTCCTGTTGTGTGACTAGAAGAGGCTGAAACACAATCAGAGCCGCTTTGTCCTGAAGAGACACCTGAATGTATGTCACTCCTGGCAGCTCGGCGACGTGTCCCTCGATGGACTGCACACAGGAGTGGCAGTGCATACCGTCCACCCTGATCTGCACCGCCGACTCCACACTGTGTCCCAGGCTCTGGAGCTCCAGGGCCAGCTCTTTGGTTGTGATGGCCGAGGTATCATAGTCCACTTTGGCTAATTTCCTGGGTAAAGACAGGCTGATGCCGAGTACCCCCTTCAGCGTGGAGGTTCTGGATTCGATGGCCCGGGCCTGGTGCTCGGAGCAGAGTCCTCGGAGGTGTAGCGTCACCCTGGAGGCAGATGTGGGAGGAAGGTGGAGATCACTCTGGCTCCCATACTCGTAGGCCAAGTTGTCAAAGCCTTGATTCTCAACATCAATGCAAATCCCCTAAAAAAAGTCAAAAAAGAAAAGTGAATCAATGCAAAACTTTCAATTTCAGGACACTTGATTAGAATCATTCATTTAACTTCACAAAAATATGAGTAGTCAGCTGCCTAGGGCCTTTATTTTGAAAAGCCCTCAGACAAAACTGCACTGTCAGCTGCACATTATTAAATCGTACAGGATGTTTCTGCCTTTTGTTCACAGCTCAGTATGATATTGTGCAATAAATCCAGAATCCTCTCTGAGGTAATGGTGCTATCAGAAGTCAGGTCCATGATTCATGGATTCGCAGCTTATCCCTGTCGTAAACAGACTCTTGATCTTTGACCCTGAAGAATCGTCACGAAACCAAACACAGTAGTTTCCCACAGTGTTCCTATGTTCCAGGTAATTACTCCACTGGCTCAGGAGCTAAGACGACTCTGAATGTCCTGCTCCGTTAGTTTGCTCTGTGCAGCTTGATCTGATGAATGGAAAGAAAAACGCAAAGAAGCGTCTGTTCAACGACTCAACAAGCTCGGAAAATGTTCCTGCAACCATTGTTTCAGCTCTGCAGCCTCGGATCTCTGAAACCCTGGCTCTAAATCAAATCTGAAACATCTAAAACTTTTTGGTTTTATGGGAAAACAAGTGAGGAATAGTCTCCGTGATCACTTACACTGAAATTCAGGCACCAGATCCCATTTGGATGTTTATAAATTTCAACTTCTTCTCGTCTACACTTGAACTTTCATGTCACTTATATGAAAAATAATCATAATCACCCCCCCCCCCCACACACACACACACACCACATGACTGAGCCTCCACATAAGCTCGACAACGTGACTCTGCTTAAAGTCAAGAGTCGCTGGTACCTCACAGAGCGGAGGAGAGAAGATGGACTCTCACTTTTTATTTTCATCCATGTAAAAAAAAAAAAAAGAAGCTTGTGCTGCATAAGCCGGGTCAAAAGCTGTAAATCACCCCAGATGGGACTCGAACCCACAACCTCAATCAGCTTCATATTAATAATGTCTATAAAGGCAGACCTCTGTGCGTGGATCTCTGTGTGAGCCTTTGTGTTACAGTCGGACACTGACATGTGACGGCTGAGTTCACGATCGCTGTTCAACTGTTCAAAGAGCAACTTCTCCAAACACACAAATCATTTCAGAGATAAGATTAAATTTCAAAACACTGGACAACCTGAATTACAGAACTACCCCTTTGCCGGTTTGCGTTGCGTGACCCTGACCTCTTCCACCGACGTCACCTGTGTGATTACATGACACTAACGCAGCTTCGGTCCAGACGAGCTCGGACAATAAGTTCATTCAGCCTCCAGAGTAACTGGAGGACAGATGTTACACATGATTCACCATCAGATTCAGCAACTGTTTCTGTAATCGGCCGCATAAAGAAGCAGTTTCTGACTTTTTAAAGCTTTAAAAGAACCTGTTGCACATTAAAACTATAGAATGTTTTCATTTAGAATCAGATTTATTTTAGAGAACGAGCCGCTGATTCACCAGAAGAGAAAAATCACTTTTTTTTTTTTGGATGCAGGATCATTTAAATTTTCTTTGTGCAAAAGTTGCAAAATCTTTCAGAGAAATCAAAAGATTCCCAGTGAATTGTAGTAAAATCTAGTAAATACAGTTTTAGCAGGACCTCTGTTGAGCAGTTACTTGTATTTCTACTCATACTGCAGTACTTTAGTACGTGCATGTTTACATTTGGGTCCTCTGACCTTGAGCATGGCGTCACAGAGACATTTAACATTTGATGTGTAATAAATATGGTTTAAGACAAACTGTAATGTAGCCTGGATCTGTGGGGAGATGATTTCAAGTGTTTAAAGTTCACTAATAATAAATCACTTCTTCACACACTTGGGACATCAGCTTGTTATCTTTGTTTTATTGCTTTTAGATAATATCTTCTCCTTCCAACTCTTTTTATGGATTTAGACTTTACGATTGATTGTTGTTACCAGAGTTGTCCATGTCTTTGTCTGTCAAACCCTGATTTTAAAGGTGCTGTGTAATTAAAGTTATAATTTCATCATAACATATTAAATGTGTGTATGACCCCTTGAACTTAACGACATAAAAACCTATTTTGAAGCATCAATAAATAGTTTTGGGGACTTGAGGTGTGGAAAGAAAAACATGTGGCTCAACAGGTTCCCATCAGATTTGCTGCTGCGCCAAAATAAAGTGGATAAACTACACGAGGTGGACATGAGCCCTTCAAAATAAGACTTTGGAGACGTATATCTGATGGGACACGAGCTGCAGATGGTTCCCCGGAGGGCCCCTCTGTACCTGGAAGTCCGGAGCGCATCGTCCCCTCCCGCAGGCCGCAGTGTGGAGTCCCCGGGTGCAGTCCGGCCCGCAGCCACATTCAACCATACAGATCTGCTCCCCTGCGCCACGCGTCGACGCGGACTCAACCCTGGTCCCGCTGGTTTTGGGCGACTTCGGTGAAAACATGTCGGAGCAGCAGCTGATCGGACTCTCGGTTTATCTCCACCTGTCGAACGTCGCGGGGCCAAAGTCCGCAGCGCGCAGGACACACGAGGGGAGCGCGGAGCTGTGCGTAATGGCACGGTGCGCAACGCTGCGGCGCAGAGCGAGGGCGCACTCCAGCGTCTGAACTGCGGGGGTTTGCGCTGTTGGATGAGGATGAGGAGGAGGGGGGGGGGACGACATCTTTTAATCCCATGATTCAGGTTTCACTTTATTGTCCTTCAGACCATAAACAACACAAGAGCACAGGAGAAGGAAATGAAACTGGATCCAGCTCAGAAATCAAGAATGTTATGGCTCCCATCATGAGAAGCCCATAAAAACTAAAGATACAACAAGTGAAAGAATAAAGAGATAAATTGGACAAATATCCTATATAACTTATTATTATTAATATAGTAAAAAATCTGTCGCAGGTTTAAAAGTTTTGTTATAAATCAAAAATAAATTAAATTAGACTCAAGCTTGTGGGGGAAAAGAAATAAAACGTAATATGTGTAGAAAAATACGTTTTATTTAAGGTCAATTCAAATACAAGATCTCCACAAAGGTAAAAAAAAAAAAAAAACTCACTCCTTCCTTCAGTAGGCTTTTAATTTTGTTGAACTTTCCAAAATAAAAGCCTGCTTGCTACTGTAATAAAAGCTACGCCCCCCCCTCCCCCCTCGTCTCTCCCGTCAGGATTTAATTTCACCTTCAGCCGAACTCAAGTGGAATATCTCCACACAAAGTGACTCTGGAGTGAGTATTTACAAAAATCACTTTTATTGACTGAACTTAATAAAGCTTCAAATGTCACTATAATACAAACACTGTAAACGATGCAACAACAGTCAGAGTGTGTGTGTGTGTGTGTGTGTGGACAAGGAAACACAGGAAATATCAGAATAAGTGAAATAAAACAAGACAAAAAATATCTTCCTTTTGTTTTGTGTGTACTAATCGATGTTAAATGTGGAACACTGCAAAAAAAAATGCAGCTTTCCGGCCGAACAGGCGACAAAAGAAGGCACACAGAGGAGGTGGAGCTCCGCCGCTATAATCACTGTTCCTTCAAATCCAATATATGAAATTAGAACATTAATTCATGATAGGGAGCAAAATTCACACGTTAGGTCACTGAAGATTTGTTCCTCGTTCTCACGTCAAACCTGGTCCTTCAAACGTCGTAGAAATCTGGAAACATAATCGATCTCTTTGCAGGAGAAGCAGGTTCTTTTTTTTTTAAAAAAAAAAAAAAAAAAAAAAAAAAACGCAGAAACACCCGAGACCAAACGTTCATTTCCTTTTTTCTCTCGACGTCGACCTGTACAACATGTCGGGAGAAAGTTAAAAGCAACAGGAACAAAATTTCTCTTTTTTCTCCTGTTTCCGTCTCAGCGCTGTCGATCCCAGCGCCAGATGGAAGCGTCGTCGCACACGGCGATCAAGATGCTGCTGTCGCGGCTGAAGCTGGTTTGCCGGATTGCCGACATGCACTTGGGGAGGGTCAGCGTGGTGCACCTGGAGACCAGAAAGAAGACGCCGTCACGTTTGTGTCTTAGTCCAACTGGAGTGAAACTTTATCTAGATCTTTGAACTGATTCTGATTCCACCGGGTTTTATTAAATATGTTTTAAATTGTCCTGGACTCCAAACACATCTCTGATCTCTCAGACCCTCTGACCAGACTCTCAGTCGAGGCCGAGGGGTTGAAACGTTCGTCCGTTTGCTGCTGCAGCTTCAGAGCTTTGGAAAAGTTCATATCGAGTTTCCTTACGTTGTTTTTATTCACGTCTAAGACTTAAAGTTCCCTGAGGAGGTTCGAGTTTCTGTCTGTCGTCAGCAGGATTACACAAAAACATGTGAATCAACGAAGTGTTGTGTAGCGTTTCACACCACAGGCATGAGTGTCCTTGTTGCCAATGACGATTCTAACTTGGATTAAAACAGAGAAGTTGTGAACTTACTTTGCTTTGTGCGGATCTTCCACTTCAAGGTCCCACACATAGAGTTTCCCCACCTGGTTTCCCAAAGCCAGCATCTGTCAATCAGCGCCACAGCAACGTCAGTAAACAACAAGTGAGAGAAGATTCGACACGAGATCATAAATGCGACGACAGAAAAGACTGAGCTGTGTGACCTTCTGCCAGAAGTCCATGGAGAAGCGCATGTACCAGATGTCACACTGGCTGTAATCAAAGCGTCCCAGAATCGTCACATTCGACTCGTTGGGTTTAATGTGATCGATGTCGTCCTCCATCTTCCCTGGTTTCCAGCACACGATGGCGTTTTCACACGACTGGAGAGAGAGAAAGAGAGAACGATGAAGAAATGACACGAGAGACTTCTTAAAGAATCATAACTAAATACACAACAGGGTTTTGTCCTGTGTCACTACACTGAATCCAGAAATCAGTTCTTCTTAATCAAACCCACTGTAGCCGCCGTTACACGACTTCGCTAACTTGCCTTTGAGAGAATGAGGTCGCCCAGCCACCGCACACAGTCCACGTAGTTTCTGTGGATGTCTCGTGTTGAGAAGTCAGGGAAGTGAATTTTCTGAGACACAAAGGGTCTGAAGAAAAACACAGATTGAGATTTATTTAAGACGATGAGAACATGATGAAATATGCTGCTCTTACAGGATCAGGAAACACCAAAAGAATTCTTCTTTACCTGTTGGTCTTTGACGGGTTGTACTCATAAGATCCTCTAATGGCTTTCTGCATCCTCTCTGAATTGATCCGCCAAAGTTTTAGGGAGTGGTCCATCCCACACGACATTATCTTCTCACCGAGGAGATCAAAATCCTGAAGTGGAACAAAAACAAACGCAGACGTTAGAAACCCTTCAATGAAATATATTTTACAGTTCAACCATAAACTTTATCTTTACTTTAACTATAAATAACTAAAACACTCACGGCGCTAAGGACTTCATCTCGATGACCTTCCACTCCACCGAATATTGCCACTAAGGTGTCGGTCTGTATGTTCCACAGACGGAGGGCGTGATCTGAGGAACCAGGCAGGAAATGATCCAACAAAACAAAAGAAGTCACTTCATTAGAACCGTGACAGAATTTGATCGCAGCGTCTTCATGTGAGTAAAACTGGATTTTTTTTGAATGTTTAGAGTTTATCTGCAAACAAACACTTTCAGGATTTTGTCATTTAAAAAAAGGTGATTTATTTATTTGCTGAATTTAATTCGTGAAATGTCCCTTTGACTGATTTCACAGCCACAGAGACGAGGAGGATTGTCCAGACACACGCGTGGTGTCAACGGGTGAATTTTTAAATCTGCCTCGTCTTCAGTCACACCCCGAAATAAAAGATTAAACTTTGCTTTCAATCATGTGACCCTTATCACAGATCTTATCATTATGACCCTCGATTAAAGAACCACCTGAGAATCACATGGTGATAAAAACACCGTCCTTGAGCAGAGTTACACTCTCACATGACTGAGTTTCCTGCAGCGTAATGAAGGTGACAGAAGATTCACAGTGTTCAGATGAGGTCACTGAAGCCTCTAAAAAGGTTTATGATCATCATTGTGATGTTTTTTTACCTTTGCTGACAGACAGGAGGAGATTTGGATCCCTCGGGTGAAACTTGAGCTCGTTGATGGCGTTTCCATGACCTACATAATGCTGGATATGACAGATAAAGACTGTAATTAAAGATACGCTCTCCATTTATTTATTCTGTTCTATGAGAAGGGAATAAACAGTAGTTAAGTATAGAGGGAATGATTTTGTGTAGATGGTTTATAAGTCTGATGATTAAATTACCTTGATGCACTGCATAGTGATGTGGTTGATCACCCGAATGATCCCACGGGACCCGGCGACAGCCAGCAGAGGATGACTTGTGTTGGTGTCGTAGGTCCAGGCACACGTATAGAAGTTCTCCTCTGCCTTCACACACACATGCAGTCAAGGAAATCGACCAGAACATCTCTACGCAAACATTCCAATATGACCTGGACTTACTCCCGTTGTCTTATGTTTGATAGCAGCTGTAGAAAATTAAAACCAGGACTTAGGTGGACTGAAAACTGTCTCTGTGATTAGTGACAACGAGGAAGGACTCAGTTAGAAGACGAGTAAAAAGGATACGTCTGCATCAACGTAAGACTGCAAGAGTCTTATTTCTCCCTGAGAGTGACATTCATACAAAGTTACCTGGAGAAGAAAAGAAAACACTGGTTAGTTATGAAAGCATACGAACAAGTATTTAACAAACAGTAAAACGTTAACGCTGCGGCGGCTCGTCATCACTTACCCTGTTACTCCCGACGGTGGCGAACACCAGGGGGTCTCCCTCTTTGCTGTGCCAGTTAAACTGGACTCCAAACAGCGGCTGGCCGTGGTCCTCCTGTGAAAACCATTAGGTGATTATCAGCCAAGTGTGAATGATGAAATGAACCCGGGACACGAGTCCACGCTGCCAACTTTGCACTTCAATAAACACATGCTCGGGCGGTCCACAAGTGAAGATGGATTTTTTGTGATGATCTGAATAATGGTAAGAATAAGAGAATAAAGGAGTCACAGTGAAAAGTGCATGAACGTACCCTCAGGCTGTTGACGCATTTAAAAGAGTATCTGCACTTCTTGGACTTCCACTTGCCCTTGCCCCAGCTCTTCCTGCCCGGGGCATTGGCTGTGTTGGTGGGTGTGTCCGGGCGCTCTGCGTTGGTGCCGCTCTCCACGCTGACGGCATCATCCTGCAAAGATCGAGACGAGATTAGATCCACATCGACGCAAGGTTGATAGACTTTATATATATTATAT